GGCCCGCTAGGGTGCTTACCCTGGCGAGCCGCGTGCCAAACATTGCCGACCCCTGTTATAGAATCATAGAAGTGTAGGGCTGGAAGGGACCTCGAGGTGTCATCAAGTCCAGCCTCCTGCACTGAGGCAGGACCAACTAAACCTAGACCATCCCTGACAGATGTCCAACCTGTTCTTTGAACTTCCTGTGATGGGGATTCCACAGCCTCCCTTGGATGCCTATTTCAGAGCTTAACTACCCTTAGAGTTAGAAAGTTTTTCCTAATATCTAACCTAAATTTCCCTTGCTGCAGATTAAGCCCATTACTACTTGTCCTACTTTCAGTGGACATAGAGAACAATTGATCATAGTCCTCTTTATAACAACCCTTAACATATCTGTAGACTGTTATCACGTCCCCCCATCAGTCTTCTTTTCTCAAGGCTAAACATGCCCAGTTTTTTTAACCTTTCCTCTCAGGTCAGGTTTTCTAAACTTTTTATCATTTTTGTTGTTCTCCTCTGGAATCTCTCCAATTTGTCAACATCTTTCCTAAAGTATGGTGCCCAGAACTGGACACAGTACTCCCACTGAGGCCTCACCAGTGCCAGGCAGAGTGGGACAGTTACCTCCCATCCCTTACATACGACCCTCCTGTTAATACACCCCAGAATGGTATTAGCCTTTGTCACAACTGCATCACATTGTTGACTCATATTCAACTTCGTTCTTAGGGCACCAAGCTCTTCAACAGCCCAGGTCAAAGTTGTCAAACTTGGGTGTTTAAAATTAGGCACTAAGCTCTGTATTTAGGCACAAAATACGAGTGCTCTGATTTTCAAAGGGGCTGAGTGCTCACAGCTCTCCCTGACAGCTAACAGCATACCATAGTGGAGCTACTGTACTACTAGCCTATGGTTACAGTGGAAATAAAGACAGAGAGGGTCAGTGAGAAAATGAAGTGGAAAGCATGAGAGAAACTCACTACTCCTTCAAGTTCCTGGCAGCCAGCCTATGGTTCCTAAGAAGAGAAGCTAATCCCTGCCTGTGTGCTAAGACATCAGTGCCAAGGCTTGAAAAACCGTTGTGCCTTTCCAGGTTCTGAGATCAGCCTGCTGTAAAAGTCTGAGATGCAGGATGAATTTGAAAGAACGACTGTGTCAGTTTCCTTGCTACTTGCAAATCCTGACATGTTAAAATGGGTTGCAATTAATGGCTATAAATCTCACTGGAGGGTGAGGGGAGAAACACCCCCAGAGATTATCAGCACTTCAGATAACCCCAAACTGTCTATTAGTTCTTTCATGTTGTTTCTGCTACAACTAAAGAAACTGATTTCCACTCAACTGGCCGATGGGCCTCTGAGATTGCCATTAGCTTTGATATATGGATAAGAAAGCCTTTCATGATAAAAGACCCGATGGAAACTAAAGCACTTGCTATTGTTCAGTTTTGGAAGCTACAAGCAGCCCAGCCTAGGTTTGTTTGCCTGAGGCCATGCTTATTTGTGAAGCAGTCAAAGAATTTCCGTCACAGGCTTCAATTACGATCAACTGGGAAAAAAACCCACATCACTAAGAGCTGCCCTTTTTAAACTGCTACTGTGGCTCAGTGGCAGATTCAGAGTGCTAGCATGTGGGCAGCATTGGCCATAACCTCAATATTTGGGGATAAGAAATCAACAACAACTGTAACATGGGACTTCTGTTGTTTGCTGCTCATAAAGAACATCTTGTTAAAACTAAAGAGTGCCACTATCTCACTAGCATCCAAGGGACACTTAACTCTCTCCGTATAAGGCTTTATAGGACAAAAGCAACACTCTGAATTGCACCTGGCAATGCACTGGAGACTCCAGAGCACAGGTGTAATGTCATGGGCTCCTGACTAGAAGCACCTGTAAGAAAGCAGGAGTACTTGTGGCACCTTAGAGACTAACACATTTATTTGAGCATAAGAAAGCAGGAAGTGATGCAATGGGAAAAAACCCATTTCATTGCAAAGCAACTTCAAAACTTGATGATGTTTCGCCAACCTGAAACCATCTACTTCTGCAAGCACGACCAGCAGGATCTGCACCCCCTCTGCAGAGCAAGTGCACATTGACAGCTAGAAATTTACACTGTGGGTGAGATCCGTCACCCCCATTCCAGTCCCTTTCAGTTGGAGCGGCATGAAGAGTCCTAAAAGCCCCATATTCTGCCAGGGAAGGATTCCCTCAGTGCAGGCATTGTAGAAGTCAGCTGTAAAGCTGCTTCCTGAAGTTGCCTTGCAGGCCTCAGGGGGCTGTTGGGTTGAGGCAAGAGGCAACAGACATGTATCGGAGTCAGGGCCGGCGCAACCCATTAGGCGACCTAGGCGGTCGCCTAGGGCGCTACAATTTGGGGGGCGGCGACGGCGGCGGTATTTCGGCAGTGGGATCTTCCGCTGCCTCTGTGGGGGGCGGCATTTTGGGGCGGGACCTTCCGCCGCCTAGGGCAGCAGCAAAGCTGGCGGCGCTCCTGATCGGGGTGCGACAGCACTGAAGAGATCCGGCCCATAGAGATCCCTGGGAGGCTGCTGTACTTTAGACCCCGAGTGCGGTCTAAGTTATGCTGGGCCTCTCCAGCCTCTTAGGGTATGTCACATGGCAAGAAAAAGACCCGAGGCAGAGCGGCTCAGCCTGGGTCTACAGACTCTGACTTGTGCAACGGGGGTGAAAGTAGCAGTGTAGCTGTTTCCAGTTGGGCTGGAGCTAGGCTCTTACTCCCACCCCCCTCGCTGCGTTTTAGAGGCCAAGCAGGAAAATCTACACTGCTATTTTTACCCTTGTAACGTGAGCCCGTAAGTATCTGTAGACCACGTCTCTGAGACTTGTTGCCATGGGTTTGGGGTTTTTACACTGAATAAAAGACCAGCAGCATGGCTGTGGCTAGCACAGGTCAGCTGACTCAGCCTTGTGGGGCTTGGGCTTCAGGGCCAAAAATTGCTGGGTAGATGTTCGGCTCAGGCTGGAGCCTGAGCTCTGGGACCCTTCCCCTTGTGGACCCTCCCCCCCTAAGATAGCGTCTACACTGCACATTAAACTGAGGCTCTGACTCAGGTTTCAGCCCAAGCCCCCATTCTGTCCATACACAGATTAGTCTGACTCGGGTAAACAAGCATTTAGGACTTGGGTCTTAGGACCCTGCTCGGGGATGGCTCAGAGGCAGAGTCCCACTGTGACTTGGGTTCCATCGCTGACAGTTTGCAGGGTGCATGCAGCTCAAGCTGCAGACCACAGTCAGAAGCTCTGACTCTGAAGTGCTGCATGGATGCGTTAGCATGATTATGAGACCTGGGTCTAGCTATTTTAATGCAGAGGGGAAGTTCAGGTGTGGGCTAGGAAACACCAAGTCCGCAAGCCTGGGTCCCATAGACCTGGGTTTACAATGCAGTGCACCTGCACTGCACAGAATCACACATTATATATTTATGGAGCACTTCACTCACTAGTGAAATGCAACCCTCGTTGGAGTGGCCGAAAGAAGTCCTTTGAGAATGCACAGCAACACTACACAGTAGGCAGAGATAACAAATGAAAAACATGGTAGTCACAGAACTAACCCCGAATTTAAGGGTGGCAGGATAAATCTAACTACTTGGAATGCAGCCAGGATCTTGAGGTCAACAAACTTCTTCTTCGTAGGCCTGAGCCTCCTTTAACTTACCCCCATGTAAATAGAGCGTAATTCCATTGAAGTCGGGATAAACATGGTGTAAGTACAGAAGAATCAGGCCCTGTGTTCTGGTTAAAAAAATGTGTGCCCGCCTTGATTTTCTGTTATACTGTTTTTCCAGATCTTTTTCTCCTTTGCAGATACTGTCATTTAATACTGACTCTTCACTCACCTTCGATTTCTCCTGATGCAGCTCGATTTGAATGTCTGTTAGCTTGGTCCTGAGCTCTTCATTGGCAGCCTGCAGGGCAACAATCAGTGCCTCAGGCTTCTCGCCCTTGCTACGTCCTTTTTTTGACATTGTTTCTTCCTAATGAGAGTCTATGCGTTTAATTCCTTTCAAATAGGGACTGCCATCTTTGTTTGTTCCGTTCAGTGCAAGTTGTCTCAGCACCTACTGTGTGACATTCCTTAAGGTCCTGTCCTCAGCCGCTTTGGAAGCCCTGCGAGAAATAAGACACACTGTTATTTGTCAGTGGGTCAGTGGCATCACAAGGGTTCATGTGGTTACAAAACATTAAGACAATAGTTCATTTTTCCCAACACTGTGACCTCTGTCCAGAGACTTGCAAAGGGGATTTTAGCACAATCAAATCGCTATGTGTGAGCTTGGCATGCCTGACAGCTTGCAAAGCTGTGTCGTCCCTCTTGTTTTCTCCAGGGGGCATTCCGCAAAGAAGTAGGAGCCAGTTTGTTTCATAACGATTTTTGTAGCTTAGCAAAGAGAGCGATTTTTAAAAATAATTTTAGTTCGGGTGGTTGCCACTGATTCAAAGCCTTGGATAAAGAGGCCTGTGCAGAATAAGCACAGCATTGGCAGCAGTGGAACAAGCTTCCTCCACATTGCCTTATCGATCAGTGTCTCAATCCTGACCTGGGATGGCTACCTTCATAGGCATGTTGGTAGTGCCAGATCCATGGCCATTAAGTCCCTAGCATCTCCAAGTCCTACACGACAATTGTTCACAGCACACAACCAACATACACTTTGACATGGTTGGTGATCTAGAGAAGTCCAGGACTAGCATAGCAGAGTGTGCACTGGCTGTGTTTCTCATCCTCCCCCGTGTATCCTTTCTCCTGGTCACCTCTGCAAGGACCAGGGTTAACTTTCCCCGTAGGTACTGGAGAACAGGTAGTCCCACTGCCACTTCTCTAGATTAATCAGAGACAAAGACTATGATTTCAAAGGTGATTGACACCTTTTGGGGGAAATAACCCAATCCACATTAGTAATTTTGTCATGCAGTGAAAAAACTAGCATTCTTTCTTGTTACCTTGAATTAATTTTTATTTCCACTTGTATATGATGAAATGTATCCTGAAAATGTCATCCTCTAATTCCATTTAACTCAGCTTCCATATACTGCTCCCAATTATGCTGTTGTAACTCCTTTGAAATCAATAGAGTTACTCTAGATTTACATTATTGTAACCAAGATCAGAATCTGGACAGTATTTCCTCCACAATCCCCATGCAAAACAGAAGACAGAAGGTCTAATCTTGCTCTCAATTACACCAATGCATTGTTTCCAGTGGAGTTGCAATGGTGTGACTGAGATCAGAGTGGAGCCCAAAGATTACAGTAAATTGAGACTCATGCTTGTTATAGGAATGGGTGAATATTGTGAAAGAAAATCTACTCTGGAAGCGGTATAGTATAACTGGCCCATTCTTGTCATCTGTGTTGTAATGCAGCACAGCAGGGATGACATTATAATGTCCAGCTCAAGCTCAGAAAATGAGGCGAAGGAAATAGGAATGGTTAAGAATGTGAAAATCTGACTGCCTATGACATATGAATGCTAATGCTTTAAGACATGCTTGGGTTTAAACAAAGGCTGAACTTTCTCAAGATTAACCATGCAAGGGATTGAGCTGTAGAAAGAAAACAGTGTATGAGCTAAGCAGGAAAGAAAATAGATTAAAAATTCACAGGCGGCGCTTCCCTATAGGGAAGTGATTGTTTTAAAGACCTGAACTACAGTTACAGTAGGAAGTACTTTCACTGGCTGTACTACTACAGAACCCCAATCAGCAGAGGGTATGAGAGGCTCTGAGCCCACTTCAGTTCTGATGAGCTGAAAGTGATCTCATGACTCAAACACTAATAATACTGCAGCTGGCATGCATCACCGACTACAGTCCTGCAGTAGTAGCCCTGTGGTGTGCCGAGCTACGTTAAGGTCAGCCTCCCATAGAAAGGCAGCAGTACGTAAAAGATGGATGCTTTTAGTTCAGGAATGAGATACTTTGGATACTTATGCTTGAAAGCATAAAGCATGATGATTAAACATATCATTGCTACACAGATGGAATGTCTCAGTGTTACCCAGAGAGCTGTTGTGTATGAAGATAGAGCAGGCTGGAATCACAGCAAGGAAAATCATGTTAAACTGCAACAGGAGCACCACTTGAGGTTAGAAATGTGAAAGTAAAGCGAGGCTCTAAAATGAGGCATGACAAAATACATTCCTAGTCTCCTCCAAAGGGGTAATTTACTCCCTATTGGTTTATCAAATATGCATTATATCTTTTTTATGCAGATAAAACCGTGGGTTTTGCATCTGGTTAGCAAGCAATTTACAGAGACTGCTATGACACACTGAACTGCTGAGATAACAGAAGCTTTAGCTAATGCACTGGGCTGGGCCACTTACTTAGCTTACAAATCTTAAAATGCTGTCTTAGCATTATTACCAGCCACAGGGCTGAGTTTACTTGCTAGTATGGGTCTATAAGATTGTTTCATAATGGATTAGGAACTGGATATACAAGACCCAAGCAATGACAGTGAATATAAACCCAGTATGGCAGTAATACAATACACTCATATAATCAGCATTAATACAAAAATTACAAGCACGTTAGCTAATTGCAATTCCTACGGCCAAATTCTGCTAAGGGTTACTTCACGGAGTAACTTTGAATTTGTATTTTGGGGCTGAATCCTTCACAAACTGACTATTTTGTGTAGTGCTTACTGTGGGAAATCCCAACTGAAGTCAATGGGTCTCCGTAAGCACTGAGCCGTGAAGTAAGTGTGTGGAGTATTGTGTCCCAAGACTGTAATCACTAATAAGATCAGTAGCATGTTATGGATTCTTAACAATCAATAGACTTAATGGGCATTACGCTAGCTGGTTTAGTAACATCCTTACTAGATTCAGTAAACTTAATAAATAATGACCAGATGGCAAAGTACTGCTTATTTTTGACATCTTTCACACTAATAACTTTCTCTCTGGAATGGGAAAATATGGATCTTCAGAGATTGAAAGGTACATGACTATCAAAAGGAAGGTTATAAAAAGGATATGTCATTTCATCTTGGGATTCAGTGTTAACTCTTAGCAGCACAATGGACATATTCAGTGAATTATTACAGTCCTGAGGTATTTTGCATGTGCTGTTTTATCATCTCTCCAAAGACTGTTATCCTGAGATGGACGGATGTTATATCTTTAAAAATCGAGATGAGCATATAATTGAAAACAATGTGTTGGATGGATGGGTTTAACCTGTCAGTGTGGGCACACCATACTCATTAGCAGATCACAATTTCTTCAACTGTATTCAGAATTTGATAACTTTTTATTTTAACTCTACTACTGGTCATAAAAAGTGCTCTGGGATTGTTTGTTCTGCTCCCACAAATCAGGTGAAGTATCTACAACAAACTGCAATTGTAAGCACAGGTAAGAGTGCCTGGAGTTTTGCACCTGCAACTTCACATGCCACGTGGAGACCCAGCTATAAAGATCTATCTCTCTTCCCTCAGGTGTCCAGCTCCATTATACTCCCATGATCTTCCCTCAACATGTAACAGGCCCCAGACCCTTCCAACATGCTGTGAGCTCCTTCCAGACCTCCTGCAGAGAATCCCATTGTGTTGCTGGCCTCTCCAAGACCTTTCATCTTAGGCTCATCTTTCATCTTACACTACCACTTATGTTGGTATAACTTATGTCTTTCAGGGGTGTGAGTGAGGCACCTACTTGAGCAACATAAGTTACACCGACCTAAGCACTGGTGTGGACAGAGCTTCTCCCGCCGACATAGCTACTGCCGTTCGTTGGGGTGGATTAATTACGTCAATGGGAGAGCTTTCTGTTGGCTTAGAGCGGCTACATTAGAGAGCTTACAACAGTGCAGCTGCATTGGTACAGCTGCGCCGCTGTAAGCTCTCCAGTGTAGCCAGAGCCTTAGACTCCAACGTGCTTCTGCTTATCTTCATCTTTTAAAATCTGTTGTGGCCTCCAGCTGCCGCTCTGCTGAGCCAGTGGTCTGTGGGCATTCACAGAGAGGAGTCTTTTACTTTACAACTGGAAAACACAAAGAAAGAATGACTATAAAGTCTCCAAGATTGTCTCCGGCTCAGAAAAATCATTTTAAATCCTCTCACAGCCCTGATCTATTGTAAATGCAAATTTAAATGTGCATTACCCTTAAAACCAAAACATACTTAAAAACACCCCTTTCCCTACAAACAGACAGGGCTGCCCAGAGGGGGGGGGGCAAGTGGGCAATTTGCCCCAGGTCCGGGCCCCGCAGGGGCCCCCACGAGATTTTTCAGGGGCCACCACGAGAGTTTTCGGTGGGTCTTCGGCGGCAGGTCCTTCAGTGCTGCCGAACACCCCCGGAGCGAGTGAAGGACCCGCTGCTGAAGACCTGGAGCTTCTTCCGCTCCGGGTCTTCAGCGGCAATTCGGTGGCGGGGGCGTCTTTCGTTCCAGATCGTCGGCGGCAATTCGGCGGCAGGTCCTTTACTCACTCCGGGACCTGCCGCCGAAGTGCCCCGAAGACCCGGAGCGGAAGGACTCCTGCCGCCAAAGACCCCAGGCCCCCTGAATCCTCTGGGCGGCCCTGCAAACAGATGATTATAATAAGCGGTAACTGGGATTTCAAACTCCAGAAGTACTGCAGTAGAATAACATTCAGAATACTTGCTATAAAATAGTACTTATTTTATTAGCAAAGGTAACAACGCACTGGGAAGCAAGCAGCCACATTCTGTCCACTTTACAGCCTTTCTCTGAATTTGATTTAGCTGGCATGCCTACTGGTGGTGGAAACAGTTTGGTTGATAATGATATTGGTTGATATTCTCTTTGGAGAATAACTGAAATATCCCTGGAGACATGGATATTTGGGGCATGCAGACACGCAGTTTAGCACTTGAACTGCACAAAATTCTTAGCGTTCAGTGACGACCTGTTGCCTTTTCTTGTCTTAATCACCCTAGAGACAGTTTTCAGAGACCTCGAATACATAATCTGTGATAGTCACATGCTCTGCTAG